TTGTTTCTCCACCGCCTCGCCCTCTGCGCAGCCTGCCGCTACCACTCAGTCACGCCGCACCACCTGTGGCCATCCTTTTTCGCCGCTCACTTTCGCGACCCAACTCAGACTGAAGCACCATTCTCTCGGCACTACAGTGCGCTCAAGTATGACGATGACTGTGGTCGAGCTCGACCCTACCCTTTTGGCTACCCCTGAGGATAGTGAGCTTATGGACATCATGCGCTGCCATTTGGATGACGAGACGACCACCCCTGGTGATCGCTTGTGGATGACCCTATCCGCTATGGGCCGTGCCCACAGCAGGTCTGCACAGTCTGGTGCTCGCATGCTCGTTGTTCCTAAGGTGGACCTCCCACAGGGTTTTGTCCCTCCTCGTGGAGCTCCGACATCTGATGAGAGGGCCGCCATCAAGGTCGTCGAGGTTATTTTAATTGTCGTCAGGATGGACACCCCTCCTCGCGGTGCCCATATCATGTCGCTCTCGATCGTTAGTATGTTGACATTTCTCGTCAGCATCAATCGCAGTCCCCCTCCGAAACCTCCCAACGAACGCCATCCAGCTAGTCACAGTGTAGTACATCGTTGAGGCCTTGTTTGTAGCCGGCTTCCCGACCACTGAGTCATGGTTAGCCCTTTTAGCTACCACGCTAGAGGTTCCTCATGATACGATTGACGCGGTTCCCTCACAAGCGGTTATCGGGTAGCTGAAAATTCAGGAATAAAAATTCTCAAGTGAGAGTTTTGGGCAGTCTGAAAATCTTGAATGGTCCTGAAGTGATGAAAGGTTCGAAGACCCTTAAAACCACCTGTTTAAGCAGGTTGCATCCTGAAGTGGTGAAGGGTGTCCTGAAGTGGTCAAGTGAGAGTTTTGGGCAGTCCAAAAATCCTGAATGGTCCTGAAGTGGTGAAAGGTCCGAAGACCATGAAAACCACCCTTCACCACTTGAGGATGCAGCCTGGCTAAACAAGTGGTTTTTAGGGTCTTCGGAGCTTTCACCACTTCAGGACCATTCAGGATTTTCAGACCTGAATGGTTTTGAAGTGGTGAAAGGTCCGAAGACCCTGAAAACCACTTGTTTATGCAGGATGCATCCTGAAGTGGTGAAGGGTGTCCTAAAGTGGTGATGAAAAAAACGACTGTTGTTAACCTTCTCTCGGTTCCCTCAGCCTCGCGGTCTGTCGATGGACCGTCTGCCCCATTTTAGACTGCGACATCTAGTCCTTCTTTAAGACTTTCGACGCGTCGCGGTATTTGCACAACTCGTTGCAGTGCTCAACTGACGAATCGTGATGACGTTGTGTCATCTCTCCTATATTTGAACATTCATCTGGCTCGTTAGGAGCGACTCATAAGGCACGTAAACGTTGTCGTACCAAATACCCTTACATATTTTGTGGTTCGCATGAGCTGCATCAGGGGTGATGATTGAGGTAATGGCGCAATTGTTTTTACAGAGTCCGTAACCGAATCCCAGAAGTCGGAAAGGCGGTCGTGTATATAATAAAATCAGAAAGTGTGTGGGCGTGCACTTTGAGGCACGTTGTCGGACCAAATATCCTTACAAGGGTATGTGGCCATGTTTTTACATTCGACACGCCGATCGCACTAACTACCATGGCGGAGTTGATCTGAACTTAAAAGTGTACGCGTTTTCGTGCGACACTTTCAAATAATTTCCTCGACCTTTGAGACCGGGGTGAATCGGTGAGAAAACTTTGAGAGTATGTGCGCGCGTTATTATGACGCACGCTGTGATGGTTAGGATCAATAGTAATACCCTCCGACCGAAAAGGTCGAAGAGTTGACTGGGTCAGTGTCTCCTTTCGTATGTTACGAATCTCAACACTTTGAACAGGGTAGCCATGGCATGTGGTTTGTCTTATTATTTGATGTCGTGAGTCTTGCAGAGTTTTTGTAGATCCGTGTAGTAAAGCCTTAAAAGCGGTGTATCTGTTATTGGTTCGAATCAAAAAATGATGTTCCTCTTTGCCTTTGCTGCTCTGCTTGGTCGTCTGATATTCGTCCTCCCGCGCTTCGGATGTGGTACCAGTGATCAACTTGGTGAACTCCTGCTGACATGTACAGATGTTGCGCCAGTCATAATAGACCCTTGAAAGTGGTTTGGATTAGTTGTGGATGATACATGTGGTGTGCAAGTTCTGGGTGGTCGTTTATCTTCTTCAAGGCACCTTTGACAGTGACAAGATTGTATTTCATCATCTTGATTTCATTAACAGTTCTTCGTGCTTCTGACACTATTTTCTCAATTTTTTCGGCGTCAACTATGCCTGCTTCACCGGTTTCTGTGTTTGTATTTCCAGCCTTACTTGTTCCACTCACCTCTCTTATTGGTAATATTGTCTCTAAAAATTTGTCGATCATTACCTTGAGTTCTACTATTGTTAGTGGTTTTGTTGTCTTCTCCTCCGCTTATCCCGCTTTTTTCTCTCCCGTATTCTCGTTTTTTTTTCTCCCTTCTCAGCTTGTGCGCACTTCTTGCTCTTCGCTAACTTTGTTGTCAGTTGCTCGATGTTCTTCTTCATCTTCTCCAGTTCGCTTCGTAGTGCAAATATTTCCTCCTTGAGGTCGGTAGTAAACCACGCTCTGTTACCAGGTGGAGGAAAATCATTTCGCCTCTGCTCTCATTATTGTCGACCGAATCTTCCAGGTGAGTCCGATCAAATATTTTCCTCCTAACTGATGTCGATCTTGATCTGCGTCGGCGGTCTCGTGGTGTTTTGGATCTCCCTCGTTTAATTTGTTTCCTTCCTTGCGACGCTAATGATGATGATGAGGAGGGGTGACCGCGCCTCCGTCTTACCGGCAATGAGCGCGACCACGCCATCTTCCCTGAAGTATTTGGTACCTTGGGTGTGGTTCCTCCACAAAACGTCACGAGTGAAACAAATTAGATAATGTGTAGGAGAAGATTAAAAAAAAAAAAAAAAAACACTAGAGATGAAAATGAGTATATTTGCATAATCTCCAACAAATAAAAACATGACATAAATTCGACCAAATAGAAAAGTATAAGAAGAAATTACGAGACGAATCCCCAGTCGCGAGTATATGGTCATGTCAATACCTAACTGAATGGCTAACACAAAGACTTCATGTATTCGCGCAACTGCAACCACTAATCCACCGTACGATGATACCAAGCAGAAGGACAGGACCTAAACGTAACAAGAGATGTCTACCAACCTGAAGTTAGTATCGATCTTGACGGGTGCTTCCTGCAAGTTCAAAGCACCGTGCTCTGAGATACACACTTGCAATATTGGACAACACGTCAGAGAATTTACTTTCACAAAATACACATCCTATCTATGACATGCGACCAAAACAGTCGCGATTACCCTTCCACCTCTCTGCTTAGGTAAGCCTTTCAGCCATTATCATCAATATATATACCCTTTGGTCCAAATACTTCTCCTCCGACTGAACCCTATACCCTGCAGTATCCTCCCATCATCATGTCATCGTCGTGTTGCGGAATTCTCATTGTCTAGATGTTCCTATAGTCCCGATATGTCGAAAACATTCCTTTCCCGAAAAATCCACAGTGAAGCACCATCGTTATTGCTGGTGATATTAGTAATGTTGATGCTCTTTTGATCGTGATATGCCGAAATTTTTATTTTTTAAAAATATTTTGCGTCTTCATATCCCATAAAAGTAACCCGGTAACGCTTTTAGGTACCTTGCAATTTCATCCTTTGTCCTCTTTTGTAAATTTTGTTATTATTATACAATTTGGATTTCAGAGTTTGAACTTTGTTTTTGGTCATTGTTTGCAATGCTTTTACGAATAACCGAGTGTTGTATCAGTTCAACTTCCGAGTTCGAAGACCGATTGTGTTTTTTTTGTCGGTACGTTTTTTTAGAGTCTCGTTTCAAATTTTCTTTTTGAGTGTTTATTTCTTTATTTTTGACCTTATATTTAAACTTTTTGAAAATTCATACTCGGCCTTCTCATTCGAAATTCGACAAGGATTTTATATTCCAACATATTTTTGTGTGATTCCTTTGATACTCTAAAGAGAGGCCCCCATCACTGTATTTGTGTTTCATCTACGGGTATTTCGATTGTTTATCATTTATATTTCGTTTGGTAAAAAGAGGAGTTTAGTGTTTTATCTTTCCGTGTTCGTTCCGTCATTGTTTTTGTGTCATTTTCTTTACTTCACCAATTTGTCATGTTTTCCTTATTAAAAAATTTTAAGAAGATATTTTGCACTGTGTTGTCTGTATAGTTCCTGATGAAGGCCGGAATTGCCGAATATGTTGTCTTCCACGGGTATTCCAAAAATTTAAGCTCTGTTCAATATAATTTCAATACGGCGGACAAATCGTTTATGTCATACGTGTTTGTTACCCTTTTGTGGAAAGTGCCGATGATCGTCAACACTTTCGTGTCAACGGAGCAGACACTCCTGAAATGACGTATAGACCGAAAAAAGAGAAAAAAAAAGAGAAAAAAAGATAAAAAAACCGTTGGGGGGGGGGGGGGGGGGGGGGGGGGAGAGAGAGAGAGAGAGAGAGAGAGAGAGAGAGAGAGAGAGAGAGAGCTTCTAGGTTTTGGCAGTGGGATGGGGTGGGCCTGTAGAGTGCTGGGAGACTTGCCTCTGGGGCAGGTTTGTCGAAATGCCCGTGGACACCCGGAGTTCCTGGTTTGGTCCACAGCCAGGGCATTCAGGCGGTTACGACCCTGAAGGACCGATGCAGGTAAATGTCCTAGACGACACTGGCGGAAACGGCATTAGGTTCTCATCTGTGCCATCTGTGACAACGAAATGACATTTTGGCTTCACTTCAACGAGGGGCGATTGCGCGTCGTCCCCCTTATGAGGACGACCATCGGTTTGCCGCCTTGTCCCAGGTTCTAACTGTCACCCCTCTGGGAAGCAGCCCTCGTCGCGAGCGCGTTGGCGGTTTTTGCACATTGAAATTTCAATAAGCTTTCGTTATCCGGCGCGCCATTGTCACGGAGATGGAGGAGCTGTTTGTTCGACGACCCCCCCGTCTCTGAACCAGCACACAGCAGCTCAGCACACGGAAAGTGCCCCTACTGGATGTGAAATGCAGAGAGCGCCTGGCCTGCCTCATTCCCCAGCCGAGCACATAGCCTGGCCTTGGTAATACCGGCAGAAGGCAGAGAGCACCCCCTTCTACTGCACGGTAACGGCACCAAGCGCCCTCTCCTAGCGGGGGTCATCTGTGGAGAGGTGCTTCTGCTCATTACTGTCGCGTGGTTAATTAGCAGCAATCAGCAACAGAGGGGTTTGCGGCGGGGAAGAAGACGGGTTGGCTACTGTAGCTATGGGGGGTCCGGCTATGGATTGCCTGGCCAATCCGGTCGGTGCTGTTCGGCTTCTTTTCGAGAAAGCTGCGTCACAGATATCTGATGCTCGTCAGCTGTCCAGCTATGATTGGGGAGTTCGGGAATTGTTTGAGAATTTCGTCGATCGGCCTGGCATGATGGAGAAGGTAAGTTCTGTCTGCTTGTCTCCGTCTGCAATTGCTTCTGTCGAGCTCCTTTCCTGCTCTCTGTCCCTCCATGTCTCCCCTCCTTACATCCGCATATCCTTCCCTTTCTCCCTCCTCTCGTCGCTATATCCGTCGTATGTGCCAGGTCCAGCTAATGAGTCAAGCAAGACCGGGTTTACTCTCATATAAAGTAGTAAAATCGGATCTGCAGAGCAGGGCGCGTAAAGACCAGTTTGTTTTTTTGACAACCGAGCGCGCTTGGGATAGTGGTGGTGGCATTTGTACCATGGACTTGAAATTCTTTACAGCCTGCCGGCGTGCTGTCTCTGTCACAGAGAATGGACCATGTATTTGACTCTCTCTGCTCCTGGCGCTCTTCCTCCTCTTCTTTCTCCATCGTCCCCTGTCCTCCTTTGCTCTCTCGTTACTTCCTCCCTGGTCGCCTCTTTCTATCCTTCTTCTCTGCTTCCTCCCCTCCCTCTCTCCCCGCGCTCCGTCTTTCCCTCATCTCCTTCTTTATCTCTTTCATATGGCGTCCGCAAGGGCGGAGCTGTACGAAAATGCTCGATGCGTTTCATGCATGATCGCCTGTATCTTGGTGGGACTGGTTCATCGGATCCATTGCGTCCGAGACTACTGATGATGATGAAGATGATGATGATGATGATGATGATGATGATGAGGAGGAGGAGGAGGAGGAGAACCGTTTTCAGCGGAGCAGGAGGAGACGAAAGGAAGAAGAAGAAGGTGCGGCGCACCGGTGGTGTTTAGGAGGAGGAAGAAGAAGGAGAAGAAGGTGAAGGAGAAGAAGAATCATGATAGTCAGGAGGAGGAGAAAGAGGAGGAGAAAGAGGAGAAAGAGGAGGAGAGAGGAGGAGAAAGAGGAGGAGAAAGAGGAGGAGAAAGAGGGGGAGAGAAGAGGAGAAAGAGGAAGAGAAAGAGGAGGAGAAAGAGGAGGAGAAAGAGGATGAGAAAGAGATCGCAGTAATGGGAAGGAAATATGAACAAATGAAACAGAAGAAGAAGACGACGGAGGACGAAGAGGAGATAGGGAAGAATAAGAATAAGAATAAGAATAAGAATAAGAATAATAAGAAGACAATTCGGGTAGATCTAATCATAAGAAATAGGGAAACCGAAAAGAGGAAGGAGAAATAGAGAAGCAGGGGTAGATCTAATCAGAAGAAATAGGGAAGGAGGAGAATACAAGCGAGCTGCAGGAGCAGCAAAGGAGTAGGCGAAGGAAAAAAGAAGGGATGGAAGCAGAACCATTTGTGAAAAGGATCACGTTGGAAGAAGACAATGCGGGCCATCTTAATCATTGTCTATCTAACCCCTACTTCCGGTTCCTTCTTTCGGCTAAACACACCGTCCTGGCAGAGGAGTTGTTTCAGGAAAGCGGTTGCTGGATACATTTTTGTTGGTGCTTTTGTCCATGGTCGGTAAACCACACCCCCCCTCCCCGCTTTCCCTCCCTCACCCTTTTCCCCCTTCCCCCCTTCCCCCCTTCCCTCCCCCCGCCAACCCGGCCACCCTCTTTCTCTTCCCTCTCCTTCCCGTCGCAAAAGGTTTTCTTGTCGTCCTTGTTTCGTGTCACTTCCTGCTATATTGTATGGCATCCGTTGAAATGATTTATGAATTCGTTCTAAACTTAGTCAATGCATTTCTAGTGTAGGGCTGGCGGGTCATTTCTAGTGTACGGCTAGCGGGTCGTTTCTAGTGTACGGCTAGCGGGACTCGAACCCGTCCGCTGTGGAATCGCTTTGCCACGTGGCAGCGATGATGTGGTAGATTATCCTCGATCTGCACAAGTGATAAGTGGAAAGAGCGGATTTTGCAATGAAAGCACATTTTTGTCATGGGTGGGGTTTTAGACTCCTTTTCGGTCCTTTTTTTTTTTTTTTTTTTGTTTTTTTGGGGCCATTGCTTTATTTGGTGTCCACTCTTATGGACACGTGAGAGGTTTTGTTAAAAGGTGTGGGAGGTTTGTCATAAAGACCCTGAGAAAACCCTTCTGACAATTCAGGGCTCTGATAACGGCTTCTCTCGATCTGTCGAGCCACGTGGCCAATGGCCAATGGCTCCAGATCTCACGTGGCCAATGGCGCCATATGCTGGCGAACGCAGGGATTATCTATCACGTGGGCTATCCGGAATTGCGCCATGTGAATTCGATCGGGTGTTTTCGTGGAATTCGTTTGTACTGATGTCTATCGTACGGGAAAACCGTCATGGCAAGTGATTCGTCCTTAAAAAGTACATTATTACGAAACAAATAAAGATAAAATAAAGATAAAATAAAATAAAATGATAATTATCATTAATTATGTCTAATCTAGGCTGCCGGGCCGCCCGGGTTCAGGGTGGGCAGCCCGTGCAAGGACAAGGGAAGGTCCCAGCAAAAAAAAAAAAATCCAAGAACTCCGAAAAAAAACTATGTTATGCAGAAAAATAAACTGAACAACATTTACCTCAGGGTCACATCGAATTTCTTTACCAAATTAAAAATGTAAAATAAAAGTTTACATTTTTTCTTTTCTCTTATTTTTTTTGGCCCGGCCGGGCAAGTGACCCCGGGCCACTCTGGTAGCCTAGTGTCTAATCTAATATGATATTAAGACAATCATCTGAAAAAGGCAAGTGATTCATCCTTAAAAAAGTATATTATATTATTATAATAATAATTATGTCTAAAATATGATATTAAGAAAATAATTCTTTCTCGAAGATAATAGGATGAATAGTTAAATTAGCTTAAATATTCTCAAAATCTATGATGACACCGGTTGTTTAAAAGAAATTGATAGCTTTTTGGAATTTAAGGTTCGTTGTTTTTCTACCAAGTAGGAAGTGGCCGATACCCCGTTTCCAGTACCGAGCCGAAGCTGGGTAATGGCCCCAGCCTCCGGGTAGAATTTTTATGTGAGGTCCCCGGCCTCAACTCGTTCTTGGTAATTCAGTAAATCGTGATATTCTCCTCCCCCCTCCCTTCCCCCCTTTAAAAAAAGAAGTGGGCGATACGATGCAGCCGCCAGACTAAGGCTGCTGACTCCGCACCAGTCGTAGGGTCGACGTCATCATCTCACGTTGGTGGATGGATCCCGACAAACGCCTCAGCAAAGACCCAGAGATCCCGACACACGACATGACGGGCACGGCTTGAGGGTGTGAGAAGCGCGTAGCTGACGAACTCTACTTCCGGTTGGAGATCCCGACAACAAACGAAGTGTATATATATATTTTTTCTTCTTCTTTTTCTTTTTCTTCTGTGGTGTGGAGAGAGAATTCCCTGAGGAGAACGACTGATCACATTGGCGCGGAGAGGTCACACCGAGCGCCTCGTTTGTTGTGATCACAGAGCGCGAAGTTCACAGCCAATGGCTCGCAGGGTGCACACAGAGCGCCTCCTGTGAGGCACATCGGCTTTGAACTTAGCGCTTGGCGTAGTCTCTGACCAATTGATCTGGTGCGCTGGCAAAATTCTGAAGTCGTTAGTATCATTTCTAACTAATAACCACGTTCGACTTTTTTTTGGAATTATTTTGTTAGTATTATTATATCATCAGCATTATTATTATGTTAATAATTTTGACCACGTGAGATTGTGAACCATAGATGGTGTGGGAGGGGTTATGAACCGTAGACGACACATATGATCGACGTTCCTTTTTTTTTCTTTAGTTATGATTATCATTTTTTTTTAATTTCAGTTCGTAATTTTTGTTAGCATTTCTTGATTTATGCGTGTCATCCTGGCGCAGAGGCAATGCTAGTCGAGCTTTCGATATTTATTGTTCGAATCATGGTAACCGTCGTTCGGGACGGGCCGAACGCCCGAACGTATAGGCCCCTTGGGGATGCGTTCGGCCGCTTGGGCCGAACGCGGACCAAAAAAAAAAAAAAGAAAAAAAAAACAATTCAAAAAAATCTGAAAAAAGATATGTTATAAAGAAAAATAAAATAAACAACATTTGCCTGAGCATTACATCCAAATTCCTTACCAAATTTGAAATAAGAATAAAATACAGAAAATAAAACTAAGGAAAAAAAAAATGAAAAGAGAATTAAAATTAGTGAGTGAGCGAGCACGTTTTCGACACCGCCATCTTTGGCGATTTTTTTTTTTTTTTTTTTGGCACAGCCAAATGCCATGAAAAATTACAGATGTGTACTTCACATAATACAAAAATCATCAAAAAAGTTTCAAAAAATATATATTTTTTTCAGGCCCCGCACTAAAGTGAAAACAAAAAGTAAGAAGTGAAAAAAAAAAACCCAAAATAGTGAGCTGGCGAGCACGCTTTAATTTTTGTTTGACTTAGCAAAATGACTTAGCAAAATTTATAGGCATGTACCTCACATCATAGAGAACTCACAAAAAAACAATTCAGAAAACAAAACTGATTTTTAGGCCCCGAAGTAATTTCTGGCGGGGGCTGGACCCCGAACGCCCGTACGGACGAGGTCGGCCCAGGGACCTCCGTACGTAGGGGCTGGTGACCCTGGTTCGAATCTTAATGGATGTCCCAAAGGATTTTTTTCCCACAACTTTCTTCTTGTGTTTTTTTTTTTGCTTTGCTTTCTCGAACTCCTATAACGTTTGCAGCACCAGCGATCGTGGGGTTGAATCTCCGCTTTCCGCAGCCTGTGTCTTTCTGTCTTTTCTTTTTTTTCCCCTCTCATTTTCTTTTCTTTTTGTACAATTTGAACCATTTCTCGATTTATGCATGTCACACGCAAAAATCCATCCTGCCAGCGATCGTAGGGTTGAATCTCGGCTTTCCGCAGCCTGTGTCTTTCTGTCTTCTTTTTTTTTTTCCCCCTCTCATTTTCTTTTCTTTTTTGTACAATTTGGACCATTTCTCGATTTACACACACGCATAAATGGATCCTGTGCCTTTCGTTATGACCACTTTTTTTTTCTTTTTTTTCCGGTTGAGGGRG